TATCAACTTACTGCGCAGAGAGACTGACCAAGCAGGGAGCTCTGGCTCACGGAATTGTTTCAAGACATAATCGAACAACTGTCATGTATCTGAAAGTGAAGCAGATATCTTCAGACAAGAAAGCAAGCCAAGACCAACGTGTGCTGGAAATTCTAACTCACGGGAACCTCTAGCAGAGGATGAAGACATCAAGACTAGATGGAAGCAATATATAGAATATATATATTGTAAAAGTACACTATCAGAAAGTATACTCTTGGAAGATGTATCTCATCGTAGGAGCCGTATTATGTTGTGAAAATCCCAAAATACAGAATGTTAATGTTAAGAATATTTTATGTAATATAGTATTTAAACGAAATTTTGAGTTTGGTATGCTTAACAATTCTAGTAAGAACTAAACATTTGTTCAAATTGTATTTATGGTTCCGTTAAATAATTTAGTCTACTAGCACGTAAGTTTTAACTTATTTTGTCGGCCCACTCCAAATGGCAAATATTGTATAATTTTTAGTGTTTATATTGACGGTAATTGAATCCAGGATTATAGGGCTGAAAGTCATGCAACGTAACTACGAATCCACTGTTTCAATGTTAACTTGCATAAAACGCATTATTCCGATAGTCATTGAGATGCATTACAATGATAATAGATAAAGAGAAACGTGTCTTGCATATAACTGCACTGTAAATGGGGCCTGTTTGTGGTCAAACATGTCTTTATTAATAATTTAAAAAAAAAACACGTTACCTTTGTAGGTTGTGTTTAAAGCAATGGAAGCAAAAAACTATAAAGTGAAACACCATGTCGATATAAGCTAGCACAGGTAAAAAGAAACAACAACAACCAGTAGGGCCTATTTTTCAAATAGAGCAGTTCTTTTAGAGGAACGTGAAAGAAGAATACTAATCGTGCATTCGTTCGTCCATTTTTCTGTTCATTATTTTAAGTGGATACCAATGGCCCTTCAAATCGTCGTGGCATTATAGGTTTGTATTCAAGTGGCATTATTGCGTAGAAACACATCATGTTTTTGTCACGCGACGGTACATTAAAACATCACCTGCCGAGTCTAATTGAGGCTACGCGCTAAATCAAACGGTAGGCAATTCAGGAGAGCTAGTAGTTAGTTTCACTCAATGTGAACAAGGCCTAGAATACATCACTTTAAAGATATAGGCCTACCCTTTGTAAGACTGTGGTTTGTTAAGAAAAATACCTGACAAAACGACAAAAATGGTTTGTACAATACAAGTTTGTTTTTACCATTTTTGTCTTTCTTGCTATAAAATAAATCTTGTTTTTTTTTCTGCCACAGAATGTGTGTTGTAGAAAATTTTTTTTTTTTTAAAGCCAAACCGTAAAAGACAGAAAACTCAATGAGAGTTCTACGTAATGTGAATTATTATTAGGCCTATGTTAGTTCTGTACTTATTGTTAACTTTGATCATGTTCATTATTTATATTATCAGTAATTCCACATTATCACGTCGTCATTAGTTGAGCCCGCATTTGTGTACATTGCTGTGGATAATATAAGGGAACGAGCAATCTCTCTTATAACATGAATGATTATGTCATGAGATTGTGCCTCAACATAAATGATTGAACAATCTAAATGTCTCATATCAGCAGAGTTTTAAGAACAGAAACTGCGAGAGTTTATCAAAACGTTGTATCATACTGCATTGAACAAGGAACTGAAATTATTAACTATAATTTGAGACATGTCACTCTTTGACATGCAACTTTTACAATATTTCGGATTTACATCTAGTTTGACTTTTCAATGACATTCATATTTTTACGCATAAATGATAAATTAATCTAACGTGAGTCAACATCAAATATCACGAGTTCTTAGCATTTAACAGACACGAACGGCAGTTGCATAAAGATGTAAGCACCTTTACTGAATATATAACTTAGCTTTAGTTCCTGATTAATGATGTCATTGTTATACAACGTCACAGTACGTTAACATAAGAATACCAAATAATGCAATATTACGTCTTCTTGATAGTCATCATTAGCGATAAGAATTCAAATTAGTAGGCTATTTATAGTACTTCTTTACATAGTCTGGCAGAAATATACTTTGAGAACGAAGAGAATATGATAAGCTTAAATTGGTTTATGGTTTAGTTATATTCATTCTGTTAACTATACGCTTTCTTGATTTTTCGATTTGGCTCTACACTTTGAACACCAGAATATTGACAGAAGTGAAATATTTGCTAATTCTCGGGCGTATCTTGTGAATATGCCATGAAATAAAATAAAATGTTAAACTGTAGTCTATTTATTCACAATATTATTTTAACTTGAATATACGTAATTTTTGTATCATCTTATTAAGTAAACTTAAATCTATTTATCAGAATTATCAGAAGTGAACTAAATCCATATAAACGACTCTGCTAACTGAAGGGTATTTGGATTTTATCACTGAAAAGATACAGATCTAGATGTATATGTTTTTAAACGTCAATATGAATAACTAAAAAGAAACTGCAGCACACAACAGAAAAATTATACTTGAGAACAGATTGTTGAAAGCCTTTAAATGTGGAGTAAGGAGGCATGTCTCTGTAGGAGGGGCAGGAAAAATCTTGTGAGATGAGTTAACGCTTTCAATGAGATTATGAGGAGAAATACTATTGCAGAAACATCAGTAGGTGCCCCATATTCGAGAATAGGCCGGTAGTAAAGAAAAATACGAGTGAGAGAATGGGATCAACTGTCGTATTGACTAATCTAAGTGATCTTAAGGCCCAAGTGCAAAAAGAGATAAAACAAAAATAATAATAATAATAAAAATAAGATAAAATACCAAGATTGTTAGTAATTATGTAAAATTGATGGAGGCATCATCGCCAAACACACATCTTCTTTATTACCGTATGTTCTCACTTATAAAAACCAACATGGACTTTTCAATAGCGTCCACTATTGCTCAATTCGATCTCTTATTACCATCTCGTAAGCAGTGTTGATCGAGTCATCAGCAAAAAACCGTCATTTGGTCCAAGGCCATTAATAAAACTCCTTATGATTTTCATCTGAGGTAAACTTTATCAAAAATGTGGCTTTCACTATTTAATGACTTTCATCATTTCCTCATAATGTGTCTCAAATTATTCTTTTAAGTTTCATTCACCAATTGTTTACCAGTTTCTTGAGGAATTCCTCATGGACAAATGTTAAACATATGAGGTTTGTTTTTTTTTTCTGATCATTCTTTATGTGTTATTTCCAAGCTTTTGTAATATGCTTATGGCACAGTTCTTTATAGGATGTACATGCTTGATAAACTAGGAATTCTTCAAATTAATGTCGACAATATTTTAGCTTGAAGTCATCTGAATAAAATGTAACTCGATACTCCAAAATGTGAAACAAGTATTTCGCCAGATCTATGGCTCAAATATAATAGTTCGTATCTCTTCCCGTATTATTTATTTAGTAGATCTATACTTTCTGAGCAGAATTTGAAAAGACAATAAACTCCAATATCTTGGAACATAAATCAGCGAAAGAGAAAGATTAAAAACTTCAGTCAAAAAGGTGAAGTTAAGGGTACCTTGAATTTTAGAATGGATGTGGAATATAATCTGGACTTAATGATTTATGCGGGTAAAGATAGGAAAGTGCCTTTATTACCTCTTCAGTGTAGATAAACAATATTATTGAAACGGTGGATATTCTATCAGACCGTTGCATAAATTGGAGACAGTTGTCAGGAGACTATTTGTAGGTTTTGTTGAAAGATTAAGAAATGATGCTTAGTAGTTGTATTTCATTATTGATGAACTAAGGTGAATATAATATTAATTAAAATATTAATAGCAATTTTAGGCTATTAAGAAAATAACAAATTACAATGCAAGCCATATTAAATGGAAGAACTGGCCTAACAGTACACACTACACTATTTCAAGTTACACAGCTAACAAGAAGTAGCCTAAAATAAGTTGAGCAAAGAAGTTAAACAGAAACCGAGCTAGTTATTTTCGGATTAACTGGTGACGTGCTACCAACTGAAATTTATAGCAATTTTTTATTTGCATTAACTTCATGTTAAATATTTGACATGCACTTTAAACTGTAGAATGGCTTATTGTTCCCATGATGGATGATGCAATGAGGAAATTTACATTTTACGTACGAATAAGTCATAACTCAAATACATTTCAGGCACCGACTTTTCGACACGTGCCTATTCCTGGCCCTGTTCTGATTGGATAATTGCTAAGTTTGATTGACACTCCGGAAAGGTCTATCGTAGGCAGCAGTACGGACGCTCAAGTCTGATCAGCTTGTTTCAGGAGTTGGTGTATTTCTGTTTGAATGTGTATCATTTTAAACTTTTCATTTTATATGATTTCATAACACACATTATATTCATTTGAAGAAAGATTTTTCTGTGGTCATTAGATACAGACTCATTCATATACAATGTGTGAACTCTTTCACCCTCGGGAAGTATTACTAATTGTGCACACACATCAGTACCTGTCTCTTATACACATCTAGATGTGTATAAGAGACAGGCATACATCATACAAAAAACCCTGCCTCCATCAGTACGAGGCGCAGAGTGGCCGTAACCTGAAAAAAAAAGGAAAAAAAGAGAAAATAGTTGATCTACGATTCATGTAATTTAAATCATTTCTTCATCTGCTTATTAGTTATTAAACTATTCATATTTCGTGAAACAAATAATAACATATTCCATTCATACAATTAAAAAATATTTTAATAAATAACAAATATTGGCAATTTAATTAACAATAATTTAAAATAATCCCCTATTTATAATAATAATGGAAACATAAATAACAAACAGGCCTATTATGTTAAATAATAGGCCTAATAATAAAAATAATAATGATAATAATAATTTTGTTATTAATATATATATATATACATATATATATATACATATATATATATATACATATATAGAACTATATATATATATATATATGTAGAACTGGGTATGTATGTCTCATGTTTTTACAAGCCTATACAAATAAAGGTGTAATATTATTTCAATCACCTATATATAAGTAAACTTATAGTATATTGATTAAATTGGATATTGAGTACCGGTATATCTTCACAACACCCTTAAGTATCGTGTGCACTGGCACAAGCGCGTCAACAGCATTAGGCTATCGTTTGATCTAGGTTCCAATGTAACGGTTCACATGTTTCATTATGTCAATATATAATGTAAGATTCACACCATGGCATTTTGAACATCTGTAGTTGGGGTCAACTACTTCACTGCTCCACCTCACCAGTTCCTGTCAATCATAAAACATTTCCTAACTTCAATGTCTATTAAATAACAGTTGTGTTATATCATCAGACAGCTTGATAACTATAAACCTAGGCACCAAGTGCTTGTACACCCTGCAGCCTACGGAATTCAATTTCATAGGCTGCAGTTGTGAGCTACGGGGTTCAGTTGAGCAGTTAAAAAGTAACGGGTGGAGAGGGGAGTTGCTATTTTGATCTTGTTTAGTGGGGGGAAAGTAAATAATGTACTGCCACACTGTACTGTCATTCACTATAGCGATTCATTTATTTATAGATATAATCCATAACGGGGAATTCGGTGTTTAATGTACACAAATTAATTCTCATTTTCACTTTACAATTGATTTGTTTCTTTATTTTCATGTACTATTAGGCCTATCTTGATTATGTTTTCTTGCATGGAACGATTGGAATAACTATGCATCTTTGCATGGAGGTTTAGCAATAGATTTTATACCTTCCATGATCCATGTAAGGACCGGTTGTTGTAACATGGGATTGGTTATATTTTGTTGAGAAATTGTGAATATTTTGGGTTTTCGTTTTTCACCATAGGGCCTACTACTTTTGTTTTGATTGTTTGGTTATACTGTAAGGTTATTGATGTAGGCCTATGTTGCTTAATGCACCGTCAGATTTGACGAGTGTCAATGTCCTATAAGCGTACGTTCAAATAACTAGAATATCATGTAAATAACACAAACAGGAGGCAACAGTTTTGAAAGCAATTGATAACAAATTAATATAGCTAGACAAAACTGTGGAAACACATGCCGCCTGAATTTGTACCTATGCTACAACGCAACTCGCAATATTTCGATTGGTACGTTACCTTATTTGTCCTAAAGATTATATCAAATAAAGGCACAGTAATGTAGTAAGATGACTGACAATGATTAAAAATTGATCGTATTTTTCAGAAATTAATGTCAAATTAGGCCTACAGCTCTAAAGCTAACTTGAAAACTACCGTACCATGTTCGGGTTATGAGAACCAAGTCTTCTCCGATAAAAACTTAAAATGGAGGTCCAGTGTATACATCTGGCTCGTGTGCACTTTTAAGAACCATTGCATCTTTCGGAAGAGTAATTTGGTTACCCCGATGTTATAGTTCATTTCATCCCCTGTCGTTCTGGAATGATGTGAACATGTTGCTACCAAGAAGCGCCTCTTTACTGCTGCTATGTGTGGTCACGGACCACGCCCATACACAATTCAGTACATATGCTGCAAGTTATGGGTTATTCTACTTTGCCCTTTAGCTTTGTAATATTACACAGGATAATGCATAAAATACCAAGGTAACATTTCAAACAGTACTACTGTAGGTCATTAATAGTAAAGTATAGGCCTTTTTTTTTTTTATTAGAACCAGTAAAAGTTTGCGCAGGCTCAGTGTTCTTACTTTTTTGACAATTTCAGGCTCAATGTTCTTATTTTGTTCTTATTTTTTACGCATTTTTCAAACATGGAAAATTATTATTTTACATCAGTATATTATCACTGTATACTGTATTATAGAGGGGACTATTACATACTGCAAATAAGGTACAGATAAGAATTGTTAGATTTTTTCTATTTTTTCTAATTTGACATTTTTTTTAGACCTCAGTGACATTATTAGTGATAGTCTTCGGCATCGTGTTTGCTGTCGTCTCTGCGGCCGCAACACCCACGCAATGCCAGTCTTTGTCTGTAATAAGGTCAATAATATAATTTATTATAATAAAATAGGTAGTCGTGAGCCGAAATAATATACAGTATACTAAAGATGAGATACTGGTACTGGTACGGGCATTTACTGTATAATGCGCCTCTTCCTTGTGGTTATAAAGAACAGTTCTTTTTCCTGGTCATTGGGTCCACATGCTAAGTGCTGCAGGAGCTGGCAACCCCACCAGGTTCCCATTTATACTCCTGGGTGAGGAGAAGCAAAGCAGATAAAGTGTATTGCTCAAGGACATAAGCGAAATGTACAGCGAGGGATTGAAACCCCGACCTCAGACTAACACATTTTAATAAAATTACTTGTTTATTTATTTATTCGGAAACTACACTTTTATATAAGTGGCAATCTCCCATAAGGAATGCGGGTCCAAGAAAAACAAAAAACAAAAAAAAAAAAAAAACAACAAAAGAACAAAAAAAAAAAAGAAAAAAAAAAGAAAAAAAAAACACAAAAGAACACTTTATATAAATAATTAAAACTATTTACAAAAAAATTAACCTACAAAAAAGCTAAAATAAACATTCACAAAACATAACAAAGCATAATTACATACCCTCCCCTACCCTACCCGCCACACGAGAGCGCATAGGCGTTACGCCACTGGTTGTATCTCAGAGGACAATGTGTATCATTTTAAACTTTTCATTTTATATGATTTCATAACACACATTATATTCATTTGAAGAAAGATTTTTCTGTGGTCATTAGATACAGACTCATTCATATACAATGTGTGAACTCTTTCACCCTCGGGAAGTATTACTAGTTGTGCACACAAATCAGTACCAGGGGTGGATCCTGTAGGGGGAACTGGGGGAATGTGCCTCCACCACGTTTTGCCACTAAATTTTAAAAAATTCAATGCATAATAATATTGTTATGTGCTACTCACTTATCTATTCTGGAACTGTCGCTCCCGCCCCCACCCCGTTTGAAAAATTCTGGATCCGCCCTGTTAATTTGGCACAACCTTCAATATTCAATCATTATGGTATTAGTAAAAGTAGTAGTAGCAACAGCAGCAGTTGTAGTAGTACTGTAGTAGTAGTAGTGTAACAAAAATCTGACCCCTTATTGACCCAGATTTACAAATCTCAATGTGCTGTGTGTGTGTCTTTTTTTCGTCGTTTATATGTAATTCTTTTATGTATACATTACATAATTTAATTGTATTTATTATGTGTATAAACAAGCATCGATTAAGCTTAACATATTATTATAATATATTTATATTGTATGTTAACTGGTGACGTGTCATGACGTAATATCACCGACAGCAGGCCGTCTCCATATGCAATATAGTACACGCACCTAACAGACATTATCACTGTATTTAATCATGTCAATATTTCAGTTTAATATAATTGCCGTCACAAGGGGTATCATTGATAATGACAGCGAAAGCTCCCAGGCCTGGTTCGACCGCGACTGAAGCTGCTTGCACATATGTAACATGAGGCTGCCGGCACCTTGACTTCTGACGATTATAGGTGGAAATTGACTCCATATTCTCCAAAATGGCAGACATAGGTGTAGTGTATAGATAAAAAAGAATCGGTCCAAGGGCCGATCCTTGGGGGCAGACTAAATTGCAATGTGGACGTCCTGTCTCTTATACACATCTAGATGTGTATAAGAGACAGTGTACACCCTGCAGCCTACCGAATTCAATTTCATATGCTGCAGTTGTGAGCTACGGGGTTCAGTTGAGCAGTTAAAAAGTAACGGGTGGAGAGGGGAGTTGCTATTTTGATCTTGTTTAGTGGGGGGAAAGTAAATAATGTACTGCCACACTGTACTGTCATTCACTATAGCGATTCATTTATTTATAGATATAATCCATAACGGGGAATTCGGTGTTTAATGTACACAAATTAATTCTCATTTTCACTTTACAATTGATTTGTTTCTTTATTTTCATGTACTATTAGGCCTATCTTGATTATGTTTTCTTGCATGGAACGATTGGAATAACTATGCATCTTTGCATGGAGGTTTAACAATAGATTTTATACCTCCATGATCCATGTAAGGACCGGTTGTTGTAACATGGGATTGGTTATATTTTGTTGAGAAATTGTGAATATTTTGGGTTTTCGTTTTTTACCATAGGGCCTACTACTTTTGTTTTGATTGTTCAGGCCGTCTCCATATGCAATATAGTACACGCACCTAACAGACATTATCACTGTATTTAATCATGTCAATATTTCAGTTTAATATAATTGCCGTCACAAGGGGTATCATTGATAATGACAGCGAAAGCTCCCAGGCCTGGTTCGACCGCGACTGAAGCTGCTTGCACATATGTAACATGAGGCTGCCGGCACCTTGACTTCTGACGATTATAGGTGGAAATTGACTCCATATTCTCCAAAATGGCAGACATAGGTGTAGTGTATAGATAAAAAAGAATCGGTGCAAGGGCCGATCCTTGGGGGCAGACTAAATTGCAATGTGGACGTCACAGATGATTCGACCGCGACTGAAGCTGCTTGCACATATGTAAAATGAGGCTGCCGGCACCTTGACTTCTGACGATTATAGGTGGAAATTGACTCCATATTCTCCAAAATGGCCGACATAGGTGTAGTGTATAGATAAAAAAGAATCGGTCCAAGGGCCGATCCTTGGGGGCAGACTAAATTGCAATGTGGACGTCACAGATGATTCGTCATTTATACGGACGAAACACTTGCTCTGGTGCAGGTATGAATGGAACCAACTGAGTGCTGTGTCTGTTACTCCAAACTGTGATTGAAGCCGACTCAGAGGTATTGTGTAGTCGACAGTATCAAACGCTGCAGACATGTCCAACAATACAAGTATTGTGATCTTTCCACATGTGCCAGCAGTTGCTGTGAAACCAGTCGTTCAAGTATTTTTGCAATGAAACTAAGGTTAGAGATTGGACGACAGTTTTTAAGGATATTTAGATCCAGACTAACCTTCTTGATGACAGGACGATTTTGAGCAATCTTTAATGATGGTGGTACTTTACCGGTGAAAGTGAGGTATTAACGATCGATGTCAGAGATGAAATTAGTTCCGGAATACATTTCTTGAGAAGCTCTGATGGCATAGCATCAAGGTCGCAGGTCTTAAGCGGGGCGTTTGAGAAGACACTTTCAACATCGGTTTCCATTACTTGGCAAAACTGCTAAAGTAAACACCAGGCATTAGCGGCTGAAGCAATGTACAAGACGAGTTGTCTACATTTAAATCCTTCCGGATATTTTTAATTTTCTCAGTGAAGTAAGAGCAGAATATATTAGAGAGAAATTCATCGGAAACATGATGTGGTAATGGAGATGCAATCTTTTTATGCAGGAGCTTGTTACTGACTGACTCTTAGCATTTTTTATAAAGAGGTTATTGTAGTAGGTTAGCTTTGGCTTCGACAATCATTTCCTTCAACTCTTTCTTCTGTTCTCTATAGATTTGATGGTCAAGATGCGACTTTCTCCAAAGTTTCTTAAGTTTCCTGCGTGTGGTCTTGTCATGCCTGATTAGTGCCAACAAATTTTCACAAAAACCTTATGCAATAATGACAAAATGATTATTATTGTTTATTTTCGGTAAATATTTCAGCCGCTCAAATTTTCTTTCCTATTTTTCATTCTTCCAATGCTTCTTCCGTTTTTTTTTTCGTTAAATTTAATTTAATATACTAATACATATTTACGCATACTATTTATATAAATATATAAATAAGTATATCATTCGATACATATTTACATATTTTAACTGGACTCTAGAATTAGGCCTGTGTATACATTGTGTCTGTATTTAACATAATTCAATCTTATTGCTTTATTTAAATATTATCAAATATTATTGTACTTTAACGATTTCATTATTACATATAATATATTTTTCAAATAAATATCTAAACAATTTTAATTAATTAGATATAAATTCACGTAGATTAGATCAATAAAAATGGACATATTAGTAATCCTAGGGAACAGTGAAATTACCTGGTTCCCTGATAATCCTTATCTATTCATTAACAAGAATATTTTTTTCAATTTTCTAATTAATTTTATATAGCTGGAGTTAGTTTCGACTTGGGCAAACCTTGTTAAAAAGGTACACTTTCTCCATCAAAAGGTTTTTTTTTTATGAATGGAATGACCTGTTCGAAGCACGAACTCATGTAGACCAAACCCAGTACCGTACTGTTACGATTTTTAATTGTGCGGAAAATCCACTCACGATTTGTCAGTATTACAGACTTAAGTCCTTGCTTGTACAAAAATTGTATAGGCCTAGGCCTATTGCTTAGCTCTGAGTTTTTTGTTGCTTGTCGGGATGGTAAATTGGTTCTCCTCGCTTTAATCATAATTTTTGATCTCCTGAATATTGTGCATAATAGAATGTGAATTTGTTAATCAATTCGTAATGAAGTTGAAGAAAATAAAATGTAGAAGATGTGAATTTGTTTTTGTCTTCCACTAACTTTTGTCCATGTCTTATTATGCTTGAAATTTCTTCAAAATTGTTATATTATTATAGATTTTAATCTAAATTATTATCCATTTCCATTCTGTAAGTACCGTAGTGGAATCCCTGCTGTGGAGTGGATACAATTGAAAAAGGAAGCAATGGATTATTATAATCGTCAATGTGGCTACCACCATCGTCATCATCGTCGTCTTACTGTCGTCGTCAATTTTATCATCGTAATTATCTTCATAATATTAATTATTGTATAATGAATTATTGATTGCTTTTATTATTATTATTATTATATTATTATTATTATTATTAATTACTATATTATTTTTAATTATTATACTATAATTATTTTTAATAATATTTTATTACTCAATATTTATTATTATTATTACGCCTATTATTTGTATTATATTATATACATATATAATGTTTATATTGTTATTATTTATTTATAATATATAGGCCTGTTTATTATTTATGTCTTGGCTAAACAAAATAGTGAGTTAATTAATGCAAACTAACATTGCATTATTAATGTAATTTGTGTAATGATTTTTTTAACGTTTGAATATTTAATTTTAAAAGAATTTCAAAATACACATAATGTATAAATATACACTTTTTTAATACACTGTTTTCCTATAGAATTTTATTTATTAAATAAAATTAACAAAATTATATCATAATCAGTTGATATTATATATAGAGCGAATGCAACTCAGACTGGTATGCAACACTAGTCTATTTTTCGGCTTCCATCTGAATTCTGCCGCTTATTACGAACGATACTTTTGCTTTTCATACCGTCTGCTTCGTTGATTTCCTTAGACTCAAAAACCATAAGTTTCTACCATAAAAAAAATATTTGGTTAAATTAATTTAATTATATGCATTTTATACACAATTATGTAGGAATATTAGTTGAATTTAACTAAATTTGCATACCCTTATTATCTACGTATTTATGATCTAAATATTTAACCGTTTGTATACCAGGCCAATACACACAAACGATTAATAATTGATTGCGATTGAATTTCAGGAATCGTCTGGATGTTTTGCCACATGAAGTAAAAAATATAGATGCAGGAGACAAAATACACCTTACACACACACACACATACAC